CCCCCCCCCCCCGCTTGCTCCAGGAAGGGGCTAAGATTTGTTTATACCTATTAAGCAGGCCAACCCGGGAATTATTTTCTACCCTCCTTCCTCTCCCATGCTTTAAGGTCTTGTAACTTTGTTAGTTTTGCGAATATTGTCATAATATTTGAACTGAGCATTCTTAACATGTTAAGGAAATGCAAAAAATCGATCTTTTTCAGTTTAATTCAAGCAAAAGCCGTTGAACTTGCACGATATTATGCGCGATTCATGGTGATTCGCGTCCTTTGATTTCATTAAAAAAAACTGCTTCGCGCACTAGCAAATTGGTACAAATAGTAAACGATGAATGCAAATTCGAAAAATATATTCATTCGCATTTCCTATACAATATGAATACAAATCTGTGAATTTCAAACTGTTTCGAATCACGAATCGCTCACAGTTTGGCGCAAACTTTAGACGTAAAGCTTTGGGATTCATCAACTGCCATATCACGATTACAGTAATGATCACATCGTATAAAGTGTAAGTACAGGAATGAGTCGTTTAAAAATTTTCTTTGTCTCAGACGCGCGATACCGTGACACGTTTAATCTAAGCTTGGAAAAACAAGATCCGCGTACTTGAGAAAACATGCTTGCTCCAATGCGACTTAGAGATAGACGAATCGAGAGGAAAAATAGGAAAAAGATGTCGAATAGCTTTCTTACTAAGGATGTTCATACAACGAAACCATATTTTTTTAGTAAAGCGCAAAATACTTGATGTTTAGAGAATAGAATTCGGTCCACATCAAGGAAGTACGTTTCTCGAGCAAGCCGTTATACGAGTATGTATGTACACTTAGCTAGCTTGTCAAATATAACGAGTCATGAGTAAGTCCATTATTTAATGACGCTTATTTAATCTCTCGCGGACAATCCATTTGTACTTTCAGAGCACGAATAACAAAATCGATTTCACCCTTTTTGTCTCCGTCTTCAAACAAATTAACTTAATTAACGATACAAAACTTATGCCGTCTCAAAAAAGTGCTCTTCTGATTAAATATCTTTATAGGTCAAATATAAACACGTGAATAAAATGGGGATAAGAATAGAATCATGCATTCATACCGGTAGTGTAAATCGTCTGTAGTTGGATGCATTAGTATTACTTCCACCATGGTCATTATTATTATTATTACTATTATTATCAATATGAATAATATAAATCGCATATTGCTGTAAAAATAATATGGCTATGTAGAATAATAAATGTTATAAAAAAATTAAAATGAAGGGGTAACCTCCGTGTTGTTACATTATAAATAAAACAAGAAATGCGCAGTGCAATGTTGTATTTAAAAAAAAATAATTTTAATAAAAGCCATGACAGCAAACACTAAGTGATAAAGTCTATACAATATATTGTATATCAAGTCGCAAAAACATTTTACAAGCCAATATTCACATAGAACAAACAGATACACAACATGCGTGTGTGTATACTTAATTCTTCGCTCTAAAACGGAGAACATCATTTCGTGTGTATACATATGTAAAGATTTGAGCGCCGATACGAATTATTAAAAATTTAAAGTTATGAAAAGAGAATGTCGCCTGCGTCAAAGAATTGCCATAGAATTGCACAATATTATGCACGTCGAAGAGTCATTGTCAATCGTTAATTTACGATACACTTGGAAGTTTTTTGCTTCTCGAGAAAAGTTTAGAATTCGTTTCCTCCTCGCGCATATACTTTTGCCACTTTATGAAACTTATCATGTTCGTACTTAACTATACATATAATAAAGATATTTTCTTTACATATGAAGAGGTTTGTTGCTTTCGCGCGAATCAAATAAAATAGGGACAAATAGGATTCTTTATTCAGTTGGACTATCGTTATCGATAAGTAGACGATAATACTAATTGTAAGACTAACGTTCAAGAAACAACATACACTTGTTATACATCTCGTTTCGATATGCAACATAAAGATTAATTATTATTCTTCGTGAAACCCTGTCGTGTGTAGTATACTCGGTAATAAAGTGTTTTACTCCGCCAAAGCGAATATGAGTTGTCGAATTTTAGAAGATATACCCCCTGTAAGTAGAACATAACGATCATAAATAATCTTTTGCAAAACACACACACACACGCACGCACGCACGCACAATTAAGTATACCACAAAAAATTTCATTATGCTTTTACCTCGCCCGGATATTGATGACTTCCAGCGTAAATTTCCTCTTGAGAGTCTCTCCTATATATCTTTAAATATATAGTATATGAAAGATTACATTAATACAAAACTTGTATAATTTAATCAATTAAGAGATCTAAAGCCTATTTTTGATCAAAGCGGATCTTAATGTTTAAATATTTCAGAATATATATACATATATATATATATATCCAATTTTTATGTTAAGTCGGAGAAAAAGTTCCTTCGCATTTAAACAAATTTTTTTGCCAAAGTTTTTCATTTGTTGCGAAATTTTCATTACAATTATATCATTCGCTAGAGCAAAGTTTCAGCTTTAAGAATCTTTAGTAATTAATCTTAAATCTTTATTAATTTGCGATATGATGATTTTTATCGGATATGAGCAATCGAAGTTAGAATGCCCTTTTATTTAATTCGCGAATAACAAGGAACTAAGGAACAAAAAATCATACATTAAAAAAAAATTATTTTAGGGAAAGTTTCGAGCTAGGTAGTCGAAAAATTTCGTAAATTTTTTTTGGGCACGTGAGAGGCCTTCAAAGTGAAAAGAAAATTTTTCAGCTCATAGTTTTTTTAAGTATAAAAATTACCAAACTCATAGAAAGTCAAAAAGTATAGTAACCTTTTGAAAGTACAGATTTCAAGCTTTAAAACCCTTTTTTTAAATTTAAATTTCGTTCATTTTTGACAAAAAGATATTGTATATACAATTTTGAATTAAAAAAATACAAACTTTTTTCCCAACCCAATATATATATATATATATATATTCAATTTTTGATAAACTGCGCGCTTAAATCTTGAAATACAATTATATAGAATAGAACTAGAGTAATGATATCACGAATTAAATTAATAAATTTTTAATAATTTTTACTAATAAGTAGGGGTGTAACGAAAGTGTAATTATAAGTTATAACGAATGCGAAAAAAAAATTTTTTTTGTGAAATCGAATGTGAATGCAGTGGGAAAGTTGTCGGCATTTTTATTAATATAGAAGGATTGCGCTATTTTAATATATCTACACTGTTAAAAAAACATAAATTTTTTTCTGTTACATGTAATGAAAGCAAATTTCAAGTAAGTACATTAAAAATATTTAATGTTGTCAATGAAAATGAAGTTGCAACTAACAAATTTAACTAACTAAATTTAACGTTTACTTACATTTAATTTTATGCAAATATACATAAAATTTAATAAAAAATGTACTAAACTTCGTAAAATTTTATGAAACGTTCACTAAATTTCATGTATATGTACACAAATATACTTTTTAGTTACAGATACATAAAATTAATTTAATGTCATAAAATTGAACTTAATTTATGTAACTTAAAAGTTATATTAAATTTCATTTTTAACAGTGTAGAGCAGAACCTTTCAACTCGGGCTCAGAGTACGTTTATGAAATTCTTCTTCCTTCGATTAGATTTTTGAGCTAGAGGCAGATCACAGTATCATAATATGGTACTGTGATCAGTCTCTTGAGGCCAGAAACTTAATAAGGAGAAGAAGAAAGAGGGCTTTCATAACATAAAGAGGGCTTCAAAAGGCATACCGTGCCCGAGTTGGAAGGCTCTGATCTAGAGCTTTAATATAAACAAGCACTCCCTTGTCATCTAAGGTTTGTTCGTGTCGTATGTTCCAATATGCTCCTATCGCGCTCATTGGAGTGTGTAGGAACTATGATAGGAGCATGCGACGCGAACAAATCTCTAGTGTGTCGCCGGCGAAGCTGTGAATAGTGTGAATCCCACGGATCGGATAATGGTGTTTTCTACCAAGCGACTGTCTAATAGTGATCAGGGAACCATACCATGTACTATGGAATTATTCGAAATGGATTCCAATTAAAATGATTCGATTATTCCCTAGATTTCTATTGTATTTTCTAGGGAAATGAAATAATTCCGATCGGAATTCATTTTAATTTATTCCATAATAGAAATCTTGTGCAATATTTATCGTAATAATTGGTAAACTAGTGAGAGAAACTCAACGTTTTTCAAGAAGACGTATGCCAACAATTATAATTCGACAACAATTTGTCTCAGTAGTCTAATTGTGAAGACATTCGCCTGGAAAGAGATTCCCGGTCAAAATAATATTTTTTGCAATAAAATTATTTACAGGTTTTATGCTTATCAATATCATATTATTAATGTCTTCTAAGATGTCTATAAGTCGATATTATTAAATTGCTTATCAATTTAATTTGTGATATCACTGCTCTAGTTCTGTCAAGATTGCGTTTCAAGATTAAAAATTAAATTCGGGGTGTAGTTTGCAGGATTGGATATAAATTAATAGTATAAATTAAATATATATAAAATTCACAACATCAATTATTTAAACATTAAAAATCCAGCTTAACCATTTTTATTTCTGATTTGTTGAGCAATTATAATTCGTATTAGACCAACGTCTTTGATCGAAAAAAAATAAATGCATTTCTTTTAATTGATTTAGTCTCGTCAAATTATGCAATTTCATCTACAAACATCTGAATACAGGTAATATTCAAGTACTTACAGGTACTATAACGCTTATAGGTGGTGTGGTCGTTTTACGTTCAGGTCGGGCATTACCATTCACCGATCCGCTCTCTAGATCTTCTCGCGGTTCATACTCCTCTTCGTCCTCATCTTCCTCGGACTCGCTTATGTACACAGATACCTGGTTCGTCTCTGGTTTCGACCATTCGAAATAAACTCCGAAACCAATGTCATAACCATCCGTAGCAAACTCCCAAAACAGACATGTACCATCTTCGTGCGTTGGTACTCGCACCGTAACAGTCTCACCATGGCCGACCTTAATAACCGCGTCTCCTGTTTCTTTTCTAATGATCTGTTTAAATTCCTCTACGCCCTTTCTCGTCCACATTTCTGCAGGACTGATGGGCGGCCAGTCTTCCACTTCGTCCGAATCTTCATCATTTACGTTTTCGTTCGTGTTATCCTTGTCATCATCATCATCATCGTGATCATCATCGTCTTTGCACGTTACATTCTTTGATTGGACGTTCTTCTTCTTCATCTTCTTCTCCTTCTCCTCCTCTTCTTCCTCTTCAATATGGTCCTCGACAACTAACTGGTTCTGATGGAGTTGTTGCATGTACTGATGATAATGCTGCTCCTGCAACTGTCTGATCAAAACGCCCTGCTGCTCCGGATTGCCGGGGTATTGTTGTTCAGCGTATAATCTGAACTGATAATATGTTTGCTGATTCAAAGCATCCTGAATCTGTCTCCTCTGAGTTTCCTCCTTCAGTCTTTCTTCTTCCTGTTTCTTTTTCTCCTCCTCTACCTCCTTAAGTTTCTTTTCTTCTTCCTGTTTCTTTGCCTCCTCTTCTCTCTTAAGCCGTTGTTTCTCTTCAAAATTCCTTTTTTGTGCCTCAACTACAGTTCTGAATAAAGGGCATAGTTTATCCAGCAATATTATAAAGCCTTCCATTGCCTGTTCTTTTGATATATCTCCCAGATTTTGCCATGCCACTCGCCTGTCCCTTCCAATCATGTCCAAGACACCTAACGATGGTGCATTTTCAGCTGTGTATTTTCCATGTGTCACTTGTTGCGTGAATGCTACCAATTTCAATTTATCCTCATAAGAGAGATGGACAGCTTTGCCTTCTTTTTCTAAATAAATTAAATTTTTTAATAATAATTTTGTTAAAAAGTACGATACATCATAAGATTTATTTACTTAATATTTGATTCCAAATTTATCACAATATCAAAATATGTAAATATTTGTAATTCTTTTTAGCACTGGCATATACATGTATCTAGTCTACATTTTGATTATATAATTTTATTTTTCAAAATAAAACAAAACAAAACAAATGTCAACAATCAATGGCTATGTAACTTGTATAAATTTGTATATATCTAAGAAAAACTCTAATGTTATTTCGTATAAAAATTTTTATAGATGCATTTTGTAACTCTGCAAGTATTAAAAAAAATGTATATAGATATATGTATACGGTCCTCTACACTTGACAATTATGTCAAATGTAAGTAACAAAATATAGCATAAAAAATTTACACCTATTAGACAAATAATAAAAAATTACAACTATTAGACAAATAATAAAAATGATCCACCAGTTGTACTATATTTAGTAAACAACATTTTTGGAATAAAATTTTTATTTGAATTCGTTCATCTTTCTTTGATATAAAAGATAGTACCATAGAAAAATGCATGACACTACAAGTGTTTGCATGGAGGAGTGTGAAGGGCTTTTGTGTGAAGGACTTTTACTTAATAAATAATTTGATTTAAATGATGTTAAAAATGTGCTTACGCGCTGTGCGTATCACGAGATGGACAAATTTCTGATGATTAAATCGTCGAGTGCTCACCTTTGTAGAAGTTGAGTGCAAATTTGTAAAGCTCTCGCGTCTCAAAGCCCCAGAGTCGCGGCTCACAGTTCTTCGCTGTAACGTCATTGCTATCGGTCCTATTCGTCGCTTTTTTGTCGTCCTCCGTCGCGGAAACGCTCAATTCGTCGACCCACTCACCGAGTGCAGACACATCCTCCTCGGCAGCGGCCGCCATTTGCGTTAGCATCTGACACGTCGATCGAGGATTGATATAAATCGCGAGTGCCTAACCTTGTTGATGTTGATCTTGTTCTTGTTCAGTCCAGCGTTTGATCGCGACCGCTGAATCGGCTGAACGCCGAACAGCAGTCGCGACATTATCTCGCGAGTAACATGACGGATAGTCTATGCTCTATGAGTGCGTGCGTGCGTACGATAATTCACGCACAATAATGAAACCGCACGAGGAAAGATCCTGGATCTAGAACAGCCCTTAATCGCCAGCAATTGTAACTGCCTGACGCTTGCTGTATTGTGCTGTTCGTGCTGCGGATTAGCAAAAGGCGAATAACGCGAAGTGACCAATCAATGCAAACGAAAGCTCGACGCGGTGACGATGTGCACCCCCGTGTTGTATGTATATATATGTATGTACGTATGTATCTATGTATGTATGTATGTATGTATGCATATATGTGTGTATGTATATATATATATATATAGTTATTTATGTGTGCGTGTCATACATAAATTACGACGCAACGAGGCAAGTACTATATACGTCAAGTACGAGGCAAGTACATATACGTACATACGAGTATACCTCTTGGTACACCTGTATGTGTGTTTGTCTCACCCTTGACTACTTGGTTGTTCCGCTACCCCCTATCCCTCAGTGGTCAGTACACATTTATGTCTTTACACGTACGTCTAGAATCTTGCGCGGTTTTTTCCTTCTGGTAAAATGATAACGCGCACGGTTCGATACAGTACGGAATAAATAGAATAGTCATGGAAGAATAGGTTTCTTTCGCTGATGTACTATTATGATCTAAGAAGTATATTCAACTGTGATATATTACACAATTGTTTCAATTTACTCAGCTAACGCTAAATATTTATAAAAGGTTCCTAAAATCCCCAAAAAACATTCCGAGAATATTCTGGAATATTCCGAAATATTTACAAAATGTATAAAAGCAACATTCATATAAATATCGGTTAAAAATTCCATTTATATATCATTCCTTATTCCGAGAATGTTCCATGTATATATTAATATATATATATATATATAT